CGGCCAAGCCGCAGGACCAGCAGCACGCGCTCGAGATCAAGGGGCCCCGGCGGAGACCCCGGCGGAGACCCCGGCTCGAGGGAGACACCCGCGTCACTGCAAGGTCGCCCCGGGACGGGCAGCGGACAGGGCCGCAGCACACCGACCTGCCACCGCGCCCCACCTCAGGTGAAGCAGGCTGCGCAGGCAGGAGGCCGCAGGGCCGCACACAGCCACCAGCTAGCCAAGGGGGGTATAGACACCCTCAAAATTCAGACCGCCCAGTCCCCCAAGTACCCAAAGAAGGCTGGTGAGGTGCAGACTGGGCGCGCCGGGCAGGAGCCCCCCGTTCCCCCGAATGGGCTGCCCATCACTGACGCTGTAGTGACAGGCAGCTCACACCTCGCCCAGAGTCAGGGGATCCCAGGGCAACTCTGGGCACAGGCCTAGTGGGGGGCGTGGCGCACCCCGCTCCGCCGACCCCACACGACGTGGCCGGCAGGCAACGACACCACTTCTGCTTCCCCGCTGGCGGCGGCCGGAGCCTTCGCCCGCCAGGACGTGGCTGCTGGGCCGCTCGATGCCACACGGGGCAGCCCCCAGCGCCCGCGCTGCGCCTCATGGGAAACCCAGAGCAGCGCCTGCTCCCCTTTGGGACGGCAGAGGCAGCTGGGGCAGCAAAGCCAGACCCTGTCCCCACGCCCCTCGGCCCCTCCTCCTGGGCACGCTCAGCCCGGACAGGCCTTGTTTGCGGACAGCCGCTGGGGGCCGACAGGCAGGCGGCAGCCGAGCGAGCCAGCGCCCGGCCCGGCACGGGTCACACGGCAGGAGCCAGGTCCCAGCAGGCCAAGAGGCGCAGGCCCGGGGGCCTCGCCTGTCCTGCCGGGTCACCGGGGGCAAACTGCGGGCCCACGGGGGCAGCGGCCAGTGACTGCGAGCCCGCAGCCAGGAGATGGCGAGCAGCAGCCCCTTGTCCAGCCCCCGGGGACCATACCCCAGCGGCCAGCACAGGCCCAGGCGGGTCCCCAGCCCTGTGGCGGGTGGGGCCGCGGAGCTGCGGCCTTCCCGGCCAGGAAACGCCTTCCTCCGACCTAGACTTACATGTCGGAGCGGCCGCGGGACAGGAAAGCCGAGGCCGCCCCGAGCGGCCATGCTGCCGAGGCCCCCAACTGGCAGGAGTCCGGCGCCGGGTTCAGGGCCAAGCTGGTGCGGAGGGACTGGAGAGGCCCTGCTCTGGGGCGCACAGCTCCACACCCAGCCCCCCACATGGCCACCCCAGGGTGCTGACAGACCCACGTGAGTCCGGACCAGGGAGCCCAGCGCCAGCCCACTGCAAGGCCAGACGACGCCAGTGACCACGCGGCTTTAATTAAGAGGGAGACACAGCTGGTCACATCTGGGTCACAAGCAGCCCAGGCCCGGCTGCCCACCCAGTGAGCACAGCCCCACTCCCGGGGCGCCCATCTTGTCCCGCGAAGCACCCCTCGAGCCGCCCCGCCAGGCCTCACTGCACGTCGTCGTCATCGAAGAGATCCTCGAAGTCTGCAGGGAGACAAGGGTCAGCAGGGCGGCCGCCGCGGGGCGCCAAGGCAGAGCTGAGCCCCCGACACGGGACACTCAGCCGGGGCCCCAACCCCAAGCAGAGGGCCAGACCCTCGGCGACAGACAGCCCCGGGAGGCCGCCAGAGGCTCACCCTCCCCCCACCTCCTTGGGGAAGACCCGAGAGGGAAAGGCAAGACTCCTGGTCAGCACCCTGCTGCCGGGCTCGGAGACCCCCACTCTGCAGCCCAGAGGCCCTGCCCAGGGGGCCCCAGCACTGTTGTCCTGACAGCAGCAGCAGCGCAGCCCAGGCTCGGCGGTTCAGCCAGGCCACTTCGGATACTGGCCATGCCTCGACCCACAGCCACAGGTGATGACCTCAGTGCCACCAGGCCCAAAGATGGGCAGGTGGCCCCAGCCTCTTCCCCGCAGTTCGGCAGGAGCCCCGCAACTCTCTACTCCCTGCCGCCCCAGAAGAGACCAGACAGCCAGTGGGGGAAGCAAAGGGCAGCCCGCGGCCTCAACCTGGAGCCGGGGTCAGGGCCAGTGTGGGCAGCGCCAAGGGCCCCTGGGGAGGGCGGGGCACCACTGACCCGGGGAAGCGTCAGGGCCCACTCATGACCGGCCCACGGGGGCGCCCAGACACCTGGGGGATCAGAAGGGACGCCCCTGCCACAGGCTCCCGTGTCACCCCAGGTGTCCCCTGCTGCTGGCAGCCCCCCCCCCCGCCCCCGGGCAGGTCGGCGGCCATGGAGTGGGGGGGCGGGGGCAGCGGAGCTCACCGTTGAAGAAGTCGGCGTGCACGGCCTTCTCGTTGGCCGCCAGGTCCATCAGGAGCCCCGTGCTGCCCCCCGCCTGCGGAGAGGGGCTGTCAGCGTGGGGGCGCGCGTCTTTCCGGGTCGGGCCCGGCCCGCCAGGGTGTCCCCGCCGTCAGAGACCCACCCCGCGGCTACAGCCTCGCTCGCTCCCCGACACCCAAACCTGCTCCCCAAAACTGACCCGCCCGGGGCTCGCGGGCCC